GTGCAATGGCACGATCTCGGCTCACTGTAACCTCCACCTCCCGGGTTCAAGCGATTCTCCTGCCTCAGCCTCCCGAGTAGCTGGGATTACAGGTGCATGCCACCACACCCGGCTAATTTTTTGTATTTTTAGTAGAGATGGGGTTTCACCCTGTTAGCCAGGATGGTCTCGACCTCCTGACCTCATGATCTGCCCACCTCGGCCTCCCAAAGTGCTGGGATTACAGGCGTGAGCCACTGCGCCTGGCCGGTTAATTCTATTTTTAACATGCTATTTTGAACCAACAAGTCTACTAGAGGGGGAGAAAGTGAAAAGCCAGAGGACTTTCAACCTCATGAAAGGGCACTAGACAGAGGTGGAAGGTTCTGTGCTGGGAGGAGGGTGAGGCCCACTAGGGTATGGCAGTGCTGCGCTTCCCAGGGCGGCCCCAGCTCCAAGTGGGCCTATGTGGTTTCCATGCCTGCATTAGATCCCTTGCCCGCCCTGATCCCGTTGCTCTTCCATCCCAGAATGTAGGCTACCTGGTTCTTCCACAATTTCCTCACAGGATAGCCACATGCCACTCCGGAAGCTCCGGAAGGAGAAGCGGTCATCCCCGGTCTCCCAGTTGTATGGTACCACCTCCTGGGTGGATGTGTTGGCGACGTCTCCATCCAGGGACACTGGCATGTCAAAGCACTTGGCTGCCAGATCTTTCTCGCACAGGGGCTTGGGCACCTTCTGTGTTCCCACAAACCAGTAGTTGCTGAACAGGGATATTGTCGAGAAGCTGAGTGATAGCATGCTGAGGATGGCAGATAGGCGTGTCCGCTGGCTAGAGAAGGCCTTCGCGAACTCCATCTGTAATAGATAAGCACAAGTGGAAAGGAAAGGAAAGGAGCAGGGAGCTTGACTCAGAGCCACCTGCACTCCCTGCTTCCCTGCACTCCCTCGGCTGAAGCCATACTCCTCCAAGGCAGATAGACACAACCCGCCTCTGACAGTTTTCTCCAGGAGCTGCATGGAAGCCTGGCTTCAGGAGTGGTCTGGAGCAAGCACCTGGAGAGTCTCAGGAAACCAAACCCCAAAATGGGGGCCTCAGAAGCAGGTGTCTCTGAACTTCTCCTGTCCTCCTGCCTCAGTCCCACTCTTTCGAGGCTAGCTACAGAAACAAGAATCTCTCTTCCTCAAGGTGGGTCATAGAACCCAGACCCCCTTTCCCCAGAGCCAGCCATAAAACCTAAATATATTACTTGAACTTTTCCCTGCCTTTCTGAGTATAAACTGGCCCTAAAGAAGTTATCTGACCTCGCTTGTTTAACTGTAGGTCGAAAGACTCCCATCCTAGAAAGGGTCCTGCATGCTCAGAGAGGCCAAGAAGAATCTAGACAGACAGGCCTTGCTGGGTTTCCTCACTCAGCCTGTTAACGTTATTAGATCTAATAATAATTAGATCTGTTATTAGATGCAGTGGCTCACACCTGTAATCCTAGCGCCGTAATCCCTCCTGGAGGTGGGAGGATCACTTGAGTTCAGGAGTTCATGACTAGCCTGGGTATCATAGTGAGACTACCCTGTCTCCACGAAAAATAAAAAAAATAGCCAGGCATGGTGGTACATGCCTGTAGTCCTAGCTACTTTAGAGGCTCAGGTGGAAGAATCACCTGAGCCCAGGAGGTTAAGGCTGTAGTGAACCATGATCATGCCACTGCACTCCAGCCTGGGCAACAGAGCTACTTGTCTCTAATAAATAAGTAAAAATAAATTAAAAAAACAGTGGATCATACACTTTATGTCCAATCATATTTCTATGTGACTGTCCATACTTTGTTGGACCTAAGCATGAAAACAGACAATTCCCCTGCATCTTTGGGTCTTCATCCTGAAGGCTCTCATGTCACGTGAAACTACAATCAAATAAACTTATATGTTTTTTCTCCTATTAATCGGCCTATTGTGATTTTCAGTGAAACTTCAGAGGCAAAGGGAAAGATTTCCCCTGGTCTCTACAACCACAGGGATGATACTTCTTCAAGTTGAACCTTACACAGATATAGTTACAGAAAAGTAGTGATTTGCATAGATTGACAGGGCTTGATGCTGGGAAGGATATGCAGCAATACACAAAGTAGGATAAAGGCGATCCACCAGAGAGGACAAATTAGAATGAGGGATGCAAAAGTCAGAGTGAATTGGATGTGAACATGTTAAAATCTTTCATTTCTGCCTCAAATTGTGAGAATGGAATTAACATAGACTCCAGCTGACAAATCCTAGGGAGGATATATGTGTGTGTGTGTACCTTTATGGTGAGTGCCATAATGACCCCACTAACAAAGAAGAGCAGGAGGATCATTCTGGGTAGCAGTGATGGATCTGCCAGCAGCCACTACCTGTAGTTCTTGGACCAGCGGATTGAGCAAGAGACAGTGAAGGCGGATTGCTGCAAATATTGACACTACTGCCAGCCAGGCTCTGTCTACTGAAGGCCTGTGCCTCTGAGGCTCACCCCAAGTCCCAGCTGCTTCAGGGAGGCCCCCTAACCAGAACCTTCTGTGGGAAGAGAGGCTTGGACGGGCTTCAAGGACTCTGGTGTATACCTTCTTAATGGTACCCTTTTCACATTTATTTCTGGTCATGTCTTACTTTCATTCTAAGATTTCAAGCCGCCATTAGGTAGCAAATGTGTCTTTGTGATTTTTATCTTTCCCATAGCAATTAGCACAGTATTTTACACATTAGACACTCAGTACTAAATTTCTTAGTAAATTGAGGATGTTCTGAATAAGCATCAGATAGCAATAATCTCAGAGGTTATATAAACTCAGTAGTTTATATAAACTTTTAACTTTATATAAAAATGTATAATTAATATAGAAATATAAATATATAAATACAATTAATTAATTGACAAGGCAGTTGATAACTTCTGGAAAAGTTTTGCATAAAGTCTAAACTTTGTAAAAGTGTAGAAAAAGAATTGGATTTTTGGCTTTGTCTCCACTGACAGGTAGTAGCACTGACTTGCTGAGGCATTTGCTTTTGTAGCAAAGTGAGTTATTGGTGTCCTCTCATCCCTGCATTCCTAGATTCCTCTGAAAGGAGTCATAGCAATGAATATTAAACTGGAAACCTCTGAGGGAAGCAGATGGATGCTTTGGGGCCTGGAGGATTAAAGAGGGCAGTGAATCTACTGGGATGTGAGACTATTGAACCCCTTGGAGAGGAGATGGGGCTTATGGTTCTGGGAGAGGTAGCAATCCGGCCCAGCTTCCAACCACTGCCACAGAGGTAATAGAATTTCAAATGTGAGGTGGCTGTGTGGTGTCCGTGTAGGCTGGACACCAGGTATGGTGTCCACACAGCCATGGGTAGGGTGTTGGCAGCCAAGCCCTTGGTTAGTGGAGAGGAACCTGGAGGGCCGTGTCTTCCAGCCTGGTGTATAAGTGCCTGCCTCACAGTGGGGACATGGATTGGGGAGGCTGCCGAAAGAACTGAGGCCCCGGGTGGCTCTGGCTGGACCCCCTACTCTCTGTGTCATTTTCAGCCTCCTAAGAGAAGAGGAGGGCAAGCTAAAATATGACCAGTATTAGACTGCCAACTTTGTTGAGTGGTGGCTTGGAGCCAGATTTAATTTGACTTAGAAAACTAATTTGGCAAGTCTCTCACTGTGTGTTAGGGCAGTTTATACAGTTACATTAACACATACTGAACAGAAAAGAAGCCCATGCTTAGTTGCTGACAGACGCTTCTTAAAGTAAACCTTCTTGAGCTTTCCAGGGGATCCTTCATATCAGAATTAATCAGACTTAAATCTGCTTAGCTTAAGAGCCAGAAATAAAACCATAGCTAAATGGACAGGCCCATAAATTTCCCTCCCTTATCACCCCCAGCTTAATGTTTCTATGTTTAACAGAGAACTTTACCTTAGAAATATAACAGTTCTTCAGAGTTTCCAAGGACTATGACAGTACATATTTCAAACAAAGTGTATATTATTTATGGTAATAAGAAATACACAAAGATCATATATATATAACAACCAATATACAAAACATGATAAAGACAACTTCTGGAAAGCAATCTGCTAATGTGATTTTACTTTTAAAAGCACTCAACAAATTAACTGTCAAGAATTGTCAGTTCTTGCAAGACTCTGGGTGACCTTGACTAAGGACAAAAATTCTGCAGCATCTGGAAGGAGGAAAGATTTTCTATGGCCAGATACTGAAGTCCTATATTGCCCAGTTCCCCTTACCTAAAATGTTTTCATCTTGGTTTTAGTTATGAAAATCCTGTTGGTTTCAGTCATCGTTCTCTTACTGTGAGTCATCCTTTCTAATAATTCTTACATTGCTTGTATAAGAAATGGATTTCCAGGTAAAACATCTTCACTAATCATTCTGTGTAAAAACCGACTGAAAGACTTAGGCCATTCTAACTTTTGTAACCTCAGCGTTCATTTTTCAACAACTATTTTCAGTCTGATTTGGAAATTTGCCTACTGTCACATCAGATTTTAACTTCATACTCAATCCATTTCAAGTTATGCTTGCAAGATTTTAACTCCACATTCAATCCACTTCAAGTCATATATATTTGCAAGTTATTCTCTGGGTTATTCAGAAATAAGAAAGAATAATGAACCCCATACCAAGGTACACCCACTTTGTGGCACCAAGGTGACAACCAATTTATGGAAGAGGCAATTTGGAGAATAAAAAAGAGCTTAGACTGAAGCTCAAAGAGGTTCCTTCCAGAAGGAGTGTCCCCAGGGAGAGACACAAGAACCTCATTCAATAATCATCTCCTTGATATCGAATGATAATCTCACTTGAGACTTTCAAGAATTATCTTCAACACCTACAGTACCTTGCCCTTTGTCACATACTTTACTCCTTTCCCCAAACATGCCTTTTCCTGCTAGGATCCAGATACTTCTTGAATTGGAAGAACAAATGGTTTCCATAAAGTGATCCCGAAGAAGTAATGGCCATAACAACAACTCTATCTTTGTGTATGCGACAGATCCTATGCCAAGGTAACCCTTTACTCTCTAGAAAAGAGACAGAGTGGTTTCTCTAACAGGCCTTAGATCATTAGGAAGTGCGTAGGCACCAATGTATCATCAGTAACACTTCCATCAGCATATATTAACACAGAGTAACCCAAAATTAGCATAGGCTAGGAAGGACAACAGATTGATGAGGCAGGCACATTTCTTAAAAGAACCAGGTACAAAATAGCTGTAGACTGCATCTCTTGAGCAATAAGAGGGGAAGCCGGTTACCTTGGCCATGGTCAGCATCTTGCAGCTTGTCTGGAAGAACCGAAGGATGCCATCTGCACTCCAAGTCCCTTTGGTTTACTATTGCAAGAATGCAAACTGTCTTCCCACCCTCCCCTCCTCCCACCCTCCCCTTCTATCTCATATTCTTTGGAGTGCCTCATGATTAAATGCTGCCTTACAGGGAACATGGGCATTTAATAATTGACAAGGCAATCAGAGCCCAGCTGTTCTGGGGGATTACACCAGAGAGCTTGCCAATGGGGATCTGGGATTAAGCACAAAGAAGCAAGGATCTGCAATTTGCAGAGGAAAATTTAAAAAGTAAATGATGGTTTAGTTTCCACTGCCTGCTATTCCTTTGGTAACTGGTGTGAATGGACTGGGCTTGAATATATGGCAGACATGAAGATATGGTGGGTCACCATTACTGCAGAAGTTTACATTCCCTTGATGGCGGGTTTCCATCCCTTTGAAGAAACTCTGTTCTTTGCAATGTCAGACCCTCATGGAACCTGAACAGGAACTAGCTTCCTTGTTTCATGGATGGTCTCAACCTTTCAGCTAGAACATTCGAATAAGGACTATTAAGTACCTCCCTCTACACATGGAACACTGAGTGAGGGAGAGTGTTGGTTGGGGATGGGCTGAGGATGCAGATAAAATAGGATTGGAGAGAAATGAAATCCAGGATCAGGAATGCCATGACTATTTACCATTCCTCTACCATCCTTCAGGCAAAGAAATGAAAATATTTTATATTTCAAAAAAGAATTTCTAAAACGTTGAAAAAGTAATCTGATAAATCTGTAAGGGGTTGTTTACCTATCTTCTTGCCACTAGTCAACCAGAAATACAAGTTGTTCTTTCTTTCCTCAAAATTGTACAAATAGCTGGACGTGGTGGCTCATGCCTGTAATCCCAGCACTTTGAGAGGCCGAGGCAGTTGGATCACTTGAGGTCAGGAGTTCAAGACAAGCCTGGTCAACATAGTGACACCCTGTCTCTACTTAAAAATACAAAAAAATTAGCCAGGCATTGTGGCAGGTGCCTGTAATCCCATCTACTTGTGAGGCTGAGGCAGGTGAAACACTTGAAGCCAGGAGGCAGAGGTTGCAGTGAGCCACGATCGCACCACTGCACTCCGGCCTGGGCCACGGAACGAGACTCTGTCTCAAAAAAAAAAGAAAAAAAAATTGTGCAAATTAATTGGGACGCCAAGGTTGAGAGAGATTCTGCTGCTGCTTGTGATTCCCTAAACCTGGCATGGACTTTCATCCTCTGAGCCTTTGCTGATGCTCTTCCTTCTCCTGGAATGCCTTCAGTCTCTTTTTACCTGGTGAATTGTCTGCCTCTCAATGAAATTAGTCTAAAAAGTCATCCATTGTTTGAAAATGTTTGTTTTCTCCCTAGACAGACAGTTCCCTCTTCATGGTCCTTGTTACACTGTACCTCTCTCACAACACTTAAAAAATATTTAAAAACAATTTTAGTAGAGACAGGGTCTTACTATGTTGTCCAGGCTGGTTTTGAACCCCTGGGCTCAAGCAATCCTCCCATCTTGGCCTCCCAAAGTGCTAGGATTACAGGTGTGAGCCACTGCACCCAGCCTTCTCACAACACTTTCTATATTCCATTATAACTACTGCATTTGTCTTAAATGTAACTTCCTCAAAGACCTCTCTTTCATTTTAGAGCAGTCGTTCTCAGTTCTGATGGAGTATCAGAACAATCTTTGGAAGTTTGGAAAATATGCAGATTCCTGGACCCACCCTGAGATTTCATAGTAGTTCTGGGTGAGGCCCAGGAATTGGTAATTTTAGAAAGTTCTTAACATATACCCAAGGAATTAATGAAAAATGGCACCTGTTCGACTCATTTTGGGCTTACATTTAATAAAACCCTCTATATCCTGCCCGGCCCTTCCTCCCCCTCTTCCAGATTAGCCATGAGGTCATGTCTTTCCCGTTCTGTATTTGTGCAGTTCATTTAGGGAATCAAAGGCAGGTTCTCCTGAACTTCAGTGTTTGAATCAGACCACATTTAAGCTGAACGAGTTGCTTTGGATCCTGCTCTTATCACCCGTAATGTCTGCTCTCCTTGGACTGATGTTAACAAGCAAATTTGATAAACATGTGCCACCTTTGGGTATATTTTCTGCATTGCCCAAACAACCCTTTATTCATTGTGACAAAACTCGCTCTCCTTTGGGAGGAGAAGCAGGAATTTTGTGTTCTTTTTTTTTTTTTTTTTTTTTTTTTTTTTTACTGTTGCATTTTCTGTTGGTTTCCTGGCTACTAGTTTCATCACAACGCTGGGTGGCGCTATAACCTCATCATTTCCGCTTCCGTCACGTGCTTCCCCTACCAGTCAGCAAAATGTGGGTGGAGGTGGCAGCTCCTCCCTGTAGGATCCTTCTCTTTTTATTCATTTGGCATCCTCCCTGCCTGCTAATCTACAGAATGCCGTATGTCATCTTTATGGAATTCAGGGCTCTGGCTCAACTTTGGGGACATCTAGCCACTCCCTAGAAGAGTCTCGTAGGATTGTTTCCTGTAGCACTTTTTTTTTTTTTGGTGTGGCCAGTTCCAGCTTTCAGTGACTCAGTAGATCCTCAAATACTTCCCATGGGAAATACAACTCCACAGTATCAGAAAACACAGCCAATGTTTCTTGATGAGTTTTGTGCACATTTTTCTTTACTGAATTGTATCTTCATTCTCTTTCCACCCCAGAACAGTGAACAATTATTTTCCCTTCTCTGTGCTTACACCCTTCAAATACTTGCAGACACTTCTCATGTCCCGCTTGAGTCACTGTTTGGCACTGCCTGATGTCTTCAGTTTTTATTGCCTCTGCTCATAAACTGCACCCCCTGTGCCTTAATAGCCTGAAGTTCTCTTCTCCAGGGAAAAGGGGATGGGAGTGGTAGAGTCTTAAGTGCGTTGTATGAGGAGGCCCAGGGATGGATTTAGAGCGAAGCTAATGAAACTTCAGCTTCCATGTCTCCTACTCACTCCACCCCTTCTCAAACCTTGTTACCTAATTTGTACTTGCAACTGTGTACTCTTTTTCTTAAAGAGGGCCTCCAAAATTATATTATTTTAGGCCTCCACAAAACCTGGATCCACCCCTTAGGAAGCTGTGCATTTTGTGTGTGTGTGCTTTGCTGCCTGGCTGCTGGATGTGACCAGTCTTGATCACCGCTTCCCCAAGGACCCTGGGCCACAACGTCTAATTTCCTCTTTTTGACAAAACATGAGTTTCTCTGCCTGGCCACAAACATCAGAGCCCAGCATCCCACTCACTTCCTTTCATTGTAATTTGGGCATGTTAATATTTTTTTCTTCCCTTTCCTCTCTTAGAACAGAAGAAGTAATTGCTAGTCAATGTGACATAAATATAATTAGGTTCGGCTCAGAAGCTCATGACTCAGCACAGACAAGAAGTTTCCACATCTAAAAACAGTATTTAGCTCTGGTATGTTGGGCTGTGACCATTCCAAGATGACCTCCGCAGGAATATGGATGCACCTCACCATTATGACACCACAGGGCCAATGGTGGGGACTAACCTATATTTGCTAAAGTCCTCAGTCACTGTTCCTTGTACTGGACAAAACCACATTTATTAGGGTGTGCATCAAGGGAAAACAGTGGTTTGGGGGCACCCACACATACTCTGTAAATGGGAATGCAGTTTATTGTTTTGCGAGTACACTGCAGGTTAGAGGTGATTAAAATGATAGGTGTGAATGCTCAGCTGGAGAGCAGGTTATATACCACACCACTTCCCTAATGCCAAGGCCTGGGGCTAAGGGATCCAGTGTTTTATTTTTGTTTCACGTCATCCATCCTGGCATCTTCCAGGAAAGGTTTGTTTGTCCTGACTGGTAGGAGTATCTCTGTCCTCCCAGGAGCCAGATTTCCAACCCACGCATGATTAGCTTCTTTCTGTTACTCAGTAGAGAAAGGGCTGGAGTGGGGTGTAAATGCCTCAGCTGTCACGGGTCTGATGACCATGCCCCTGTTCTCTGCTCCTGCCTGTCTAGCATGTGCCTCTCTCGTGTAACTCATCACATGGCTTACTTGTCTGTTATGTTCACTTGACTTTAAGTTGCTTGATGTAGTCGCAGCTATGTTTTATTCATTGTTGATCCTCAGAACCTCGCAGTGTTTTAACGTCTATGAATGAATGAATGAATGAAGTGTGTAATGCAAGCAAGGCTCATGGATACAATTAGGAATCCTCAGTGAAGATGTGAATAAAGAAGTGTGTCCAAACAGCCTTCTGTTGCTAAAGGAAAGAGGATGCTTCCCGATTCACATATGTAAGAGCAGTGAGAAGCTACAAAGGAAGCCCATGGGTCCACAGACACACCCTAAGCCTTTCTACACAGATACACCCAGAGTTTCATCAAACAGATTCTCTGCCAATCCATTTCCTCTCACCTGTGGAAACACTCCTGCTTTTCAATGAGCAAAACCCAGAAAACGGTGATGATCTCATGAAAGAGTATTATCTTTAGTGCACAGAGATCAGGGGACAAACACATTGCTCAAAAGCCAGTGACAGATTGGAAATGTTATGTCCTTTTCCAAGCTAGGTGGTCCCCTACAGATTAGATGCCATTTTGGATGATGTATCTCTAACCTTTTGAGCTTTTGCTGCTCTAACTGCAATGTTTTACATCAGTGCTTGACCTTCGACTCCTTCACTGATGAAGGCAAAGGTCTTCCCACAGGACATTTTCACATTTGTTTCCTAGCCGGGAAGGGAAGAGTAATGCCACCAAAATGCCCGTACTTAGTGTCCAAAATGACTACAGCACTGCAGGACACTTAGCTCCGGGATTTATCCTCAACTGTAACCACGTGTAAGCGGCCACATCATCTCAAATGCTCGCACAATCAAATGGCTCCACTCTTCCTAACATAGGTCCCGAGTTCTGGGAATACTTCCACTTCCATTCAGTAGGAAGGACCCTAGAAAAGCATCTCGGGGCCTAGTTCTCGTCTTTCCCTTTCCGCTTTTTAATGGAATTGTTTGAGGACTTTTGCTAATGCAGTCATTTCCAGGAGAGGAAGCCGCCTTTCTTCCAGGCCCCAAGCAGCTGGGGTGAATCAGAGGGGCAGCCACATCTGCACATCCTGTGGGGCAATCGCTCACGCGCGGGTGACGGCGCCCGCGGGTCGGCTGGGGCCGG